TGGCCTACCGTATTTTGAGAACTTTTAGTTATTRCATGTTTCTCTTGCTCGCTTTTCCTAACGATTTCTTTGTTTTCGTTTGCTTTTTTTCTCTCTTAATTTACAGGTTCATCGCATGAAAAATTCACGATATTATATCATTTATTAAATCAATTTATGGTTTATATTAATCGATTTATCATGTATAAATGTTTTTCTTTGTGTTGTTTACTCTTAGGTTGGTCATGGTCTGTGTTTTTATTCTCGAAGCTAATACTTGCATATATAATTCATTACTCTACATATGAATTTCGTTTTTATGGTACATGATTTCTGTTTTCGTGATTTTATATAAATATATTAGGTGTAGGATTTGTTCTATTATATGTTTGTGCTTTTTTAACCTAATTTTGTTTTGGGCAGATTTTAACCTGGTCATTGAGGYAAGATCGTCTTTCACGCTTGCTATGTTTGGTGATAAATTTGTTATTTTTAATTGTTCGTGTACATAACGTTTGTTTTCAGGTTTATCAGTCGTTATTCAGGTAAGAATTTTACATCATAGTTGTTAGTTAGACGACATAATTTTCCTTTAAGTGTTTTGTTTTGAATGTTTCATTGTCATTATATAATTACGAGGGTTTGACAATTTTTATTTATGTATCGTAGGATGCTAATTTCTTTTGTTTCATGAGTTCTTATTCTTATGCTTGGTAATTAACTTTTTGGTTTGATCTGATTTCTTTTATTGTTTTGTTCTCCAGATTTTRTGTTMTTTGATATCAAAKTAAGTTGTTATTATGTCTGGTTTTGAGTTTGATTATTTTTTGAAAATTTCCTAATCCTTTATCGCCCACGGGACCTAACTTAGCTAACCCAAAATCAGATAACTTTGGGTGATAGCCATCGCCTAGAAGAATGTTGGATGATTTCAAGTCTCTGTAGATCACGGGCGGGTTTGCCTTATCATGCAGATACTCCAGTCCCTTTGCTGGTCCTGCCGCTATTGTCATTCTTCTGCTCTAGTCTAGAGGCTCTTCATCAAGTGGAAGATCTGAAAAACCAAAATTCTAATTCACCTTTATGCACTGCGTAGAACTATTTGCAAGCTACGTTTCAATTTGTTTACCATAAATAGCTTTCGAAGTCCAGATTAAAAAAAACCTAAAGACTTTCATAATATATCAAATATAATAACACTACACATATGCCGTAGTTTCTATATATGATATATTTTTGAGTCAAATTGTGATGGGTTCCTTCCTACTACTTYCTAATGGAAACATTATAAATCTGATATCAAAGAACCAGTCACAATTATCAATCTACCATATTGCTACCACTTTTAACCTAACTTTGTGATGTGTTTTCTATTATTTTAGGTTGCGAAGAAAAAACCTTCAAACAAAGGAAAATAGAAGATCAAAAGCAAAAACTATTTAAAGGTGATTAAAAACATCTATGTTTATAAATKAGTCCCTTTTTGTATATRATTCTGACGATGCATGATGTTATTAGCGATATTTTGCTTATATCATTCATGGTGAACTCAGTTTCGTTTTGCTCTTGCTGTCCAACGTGCTGRTAAGTCTCGGTTTATGAATTTTTTTTCTTARCTTTGTTATGRTCACAAAYTGAGTTGGTCTAATTATATTTCATGATTTCTTACCTTTTCTTCTTCTCAATGGTCGATCACATGAATCTTCTCTTTACATAGAATTATGGTAAATTGAGATAGTCCGTTTGTGACATTCCTTAAGACAAGATGACCGAGTCTTTTATTTCCTCAADGACACATCGAGTCAAAGAGATTTCATCTCTTAGTTCTTACGTTTTTGCTACTTTTTTATTTTATCTTTTTTGACTCCCCATTATTGAAAATTGTTGGTCTCTATTATTTTTTAGTGTTGCTGATGATTAGGTGGAAGCATTGACAAGTTTTTTTGGTTTCTGAGACTTGAAATAATAAATTTCACCCACGAAATTTATGTACATGTTTCTCTTCTTCCTGAATCTAACGTAAGATGTGTTTCTGATTCATTAAGTTGCAAGAAATTGCATTTGTGGTACAACTGCGATAGAAGAGAATGTTGTGAAGTTGATCTTCACATATGATCACATCAAGATACCACAATCAACATGTGGCAGCGTAAGCATCTTTTTACCCATCTCTTTCTTTGCATTCGATTTTTGGTTTTTACAAGATTGGAAATTTCTTAATTAGGAATTATATACATTAGTAATATTCTTTCTTAACGGTGAAAGAATAATTTTACTAACGAGTTTAAAAGCTATAGTACATTAGAACAACCAAAGAGCATTGGATAACAACTTTAAATATTGTAATCCCACAAATAAGCTAAGGTTGGCTCTTTTTTTTTTTGGCTTTTTATTCGTTAGTTCGTTTGTTGTTTTTGTTCATATGCATGATATTCCATATTCTATCAATTGTGATATTCTTTGAAGATGTTTTCAAGACAGGTTCTTATGGTTTGTGTGATGCGTGGGGGTTTCGTTCTTCAAGAAAGTATATCTGTTAATATAATTGATCTCTTTTGTTTCCTATGCTTTTTTTTGGATTTCATTATTTTTGTTTCGAAGAGAAAACTCCTCCTTTAAAAATGGTATGTTTTTTTTTAAGTTTTCATAGTTTTCTTTTTTTTTATTGTTTTCTCTTTTTAGTTTCTTGGATTCGAATTTGGATATATCGAGCCTTTGTTTTCTACATACAATTGTTTCGTGTTTTTTTTGAAAGAACTAGAAAAATCCATCGGAACAGTTATATAGTCTGCTTGAGGTGCTTGGTGTTGTTATTGTGTGGTTGAGAGTTTTGATTCTTAGAAAACCAATTGTCTTTGTCTTTGGATAAACAGTGGACTTTTTATTAAAATGTGATTCTTAGCAAAAGTTAGATGTCAATGTATATACGAAACCTATTACATCCACTAGAGTGATAACGTTGGTCAGAATTAAAATCTGACCTTGATTTTGAAACAAAAATTTATTTTTTAAGCAAGCGTTCTGTATTTGAATGATTTTAATATCTTACTGATATTTTTTTTGGATTTTTGTTTAGGACATTTTCAAAGTATATTGATTCTTCCTTCTTCGACATATGATCTTTGGAAAGATTTACAAATGTTCTTTATGTCG